AAATCGAACTTGGGTGAGTTCCTTCATTATTTCTTCCAGGCAAACTGCAGTGTTTGTTTTGCAATCTATTGGCAATGCACGCATTGATGGTAGAATTTGAAAAGTCACAAAAAGTGCCAGAAAGAGCAGAGCAGAACCTGAAGAGAAGAAGTCATCGTGCGTTATGAGGTCACTTCGTCCACGATATGTTATACAGTCATATTTCAGAATGAATTTCTAACAAAAAACACAAGGAATTATGGGGTGCTTTTGATTGGGAAATCTGGATTTAGTTTTTAGTTTTTTTGATATCCGGATTTCGGATTTGGCGACAAAACATGACATAAAAAACCAGATTTCAAATCTTAGAAATCCGTTCTTAAAGAGGATTATTATTATAAGTTATCCAACTTATGATATCACGAAACCCTTCTTTTGCGTTCTTTTAAAAGACGAGTGCTATCTTTTAATCCCATAAAGCATTTGCTACTGTTAAATTCTCCTATCACTTCATTCTAACATATGATTGTCCAAACGATGGTTGGACAAGAAATTGAAACACCTATAAACAAGAAGCTTGCAAGAGCTCCCCTGTGCTATTTTAACCTGCTCGCAATTTTTAAAAATCAACAATAGCTGTTAACTTTGGCATTCCCAAGGTAGAAACGAACTCAAAACTGAATCTGCTTTATCCAAAAGATTCAATTCAACCAACTATTAAACAAGGCGATCGAGTTTTTTAAGTGAAATTGTTCAGGGCTCAAGTTATAGGCTACCAAGAGCGTGAACGATCGACTGTTTCAGATGACTGACTTTACTTAATTTATCATACCACGATTGAAAGATTTCAAAACGTTTGGAGTTCGACTACAGTTCCCTGTGATCGAGTACATTGACTGGGCTTTGAGAGTTGTTGGTGTTTTCTATAATAGGAGTCGCATTCAAACCCCATGGGTTAAGAGAAGGTGAAAATTTCAGGGTATTCATATTCAAAAGCTTCAAAACGAAAAAACCCATATTTGAAAAAAAGGAAGCATAGAATACAATTATAATCAGGTAAGTTTCTTAAAACTGTGACTTGCATATCGAACAATGTTACATACCTATTCCTTGCCGATTGTCCCTCATTTTGATTCGTCGGGTGTTGTTTGCAGTGTTATTCATAAAGGCTGCAAGAAGATAAAACTAATTTTATGGTGAAGATAAGAAAGAACATTAAGAAACTCTTCAGAAAAAGTACAATGGGAAAGTTTTTCCCAAAACTAATAGGAACTTACATACCGCTGGGTTCACCTACTTCACTTACTTACTTACCCTAGCCGCTCGCCTCCTTCGTGCTCCGTTCAAGAACTAATTAAATTCCGTGCGAATTTGTGCGCTTAATATACCCACAGAAAACTAAAAATAGACAAATCCTTTTTTCTCAGGCCGCTCCAGGGGTAATAAATTCCGTTAAAAAAAATAATGCAACTAATTACATGGAGAATCTACGAGGGGGTCAGAGTTCGTGAGAACTTGCATGTAGTCATCAACCATGTAACTGAATTGTGACATGGTTGACGACTACAGTATCGTTACAGCTAGGGTTCAGAATTCAGCTGGTCTTCTAGAACTATCTTAGTTTCACTCTGTTCTGTCTAAACAAGATTTAAAAGAGTGTTTGATGAAGTCTCTTCCGGAGACACCTTTTATCTGAAAGTTGAGAAACAGCAATGAGGTTTTTTATAAGTTTTCTCCGCTTTTAAGATTTCTCGTTAAAATTGTAATTAAAGGGGTGAGGAAAACACAGGAATAATTTTTCCAAAAACACCAAACAAACAACGAAAAAAACTAATAAAACAGCTATACCTCAGTTAAAATCGCATTTCAGAATTCCTTATGAATTAAAAGGAATGGAAATCGAGAATTTTTGGTTGGGGCCGCAGCCAATGTAATTTTCCATATTTAAGAGTTCAACAGTCAATGAACTAATCATTAGGATTAATGCTCTGTGTTCATGTAACTCTGTATGCAATTTACAATTTGTTTTTTAGGGGCCAAGGTTTTAGTTAAAACCGCTCACTTTCGCTTATAAATGCGGGCAATTGGTTTTAACTTGTAGAACTCCCAAAAGAAGTTTACGACAGTAAAACGAAACGCGTCGAAGAATTGATAACTTTTATAGCTAACGGTCGCACGTTGCTGCTCACTGGTGTAGTTCTCAAAAATCACACCTCATGATGTTGGGTGTACTCGCCTCATTTACCTTATTACCTTTTAAACCGCCTCCTTCGCACTCCGTGCAAGAACGGACAAAAGTGCGTATGATGTTGGTTTATGTACCCGAAAAAATACATAGCTGCGATCAAAAACAACAAATAGACCTCTGTTGCTGCCAAATTGTTGGATTTAAGAAACTCTCGTAGACAAAGACGGAGCTTAACTTTTTTTTATTTCATTGCGTATGTCCTAAGCGAAAGTCCTAATAACTTCGATGCACCACGTCCATTCCAGTCACCTGTCAGTCATATAAACATTCTGGCTGAATGCAGTTGTGCGAAATATATTTCAGAATTGATCTCTCCGTTCTTAAAAGGGAAAGCTAACAATGTTTTGGACCAGACACTCCACTTCTGTAGCAGTAAAATACGACATTCTAAATTAGAACTTTCAGGAGCGACCTATAATTTTTGAAAGTTCGTGAGAACTGCGTATGGTGTGATGTGAGAATTTGGGATAGGCTATCGATGTCATCTCGAGATTTATGATTAACAGGTTAAAGTGTCGCTAACCTTCAAAGCGGCGCATTAAAGAAGATTTATGACTTTAAGAGAGTGTCTCTGTAAGAGCGGTCCGGTTGATTTTGCTTGAGACACGGAT